ATTTTTCAATTTTTTCATGTATTTTTTAATTTGTTAATTATAAAAAATATATATTTTTAATCTCTTAATTTAAATTAAAAAACAAAAAATATATTATCCAAGAACATTGTAGCTATATCAATTTTATTATTATTATAATCTAATATAATATCGTGATTTTTCAATTTTTTCATGTATTTTTTAATTTGTTAATTATAAAAAAAATATATTTTTAATCTCTTAATTTAAATTAAAAAACAAAAAATATATATTAAAAGTTAAAGGATTAAAAATATATACTAAGAAAAATTTAATAAATCAACTGAAAAGATGAAAATTATATATTTTTTATAATTAACAACTAAAAAATATATTAAAAAATTTAAAAATAAAAATTACGCAAAATCTTAAGGATGAAAATTAACACTTTGACAAAAATAACTGGCCATAATAACCACGCACGTACGTATAGAAAGCAAAGAAATAATTTAAAATATAATAAAAAGAAAAAGAAAGAGAAATCAGAAGCGACAGTAGCGAGCGAGTTGCAGGCAAATGGTATCGGAACATTTGGTTTGCTGAAGACATGGCTGCATCTCCATGCCTATTCACCCTCAACTCAATTCAAATTCCCTCTTCGAATAATGGATTCATACGCTCCTCCTCCTCCTCTCTATCCGCCAAGTCTCATCTTCCGCTTCCAAATCATCGCCGCAGAATCTATTGCAATCATGACGATTCTAGCCGCAGGAACCAACCACAGTCCTCCTCCTCAATTCAGCTTTATGGTGAAATTGAGAGGTATCTTCCCTTTCGTTTCAATATTTTTCCCCCTGTTCAATTTCTGGGTTCATGTTGTTCTTTCATCTTCAACATACATCTTGCAAACGGTAATTGCAAATAGTATTCTTTTTGTTATTGTTTTCAGAATTCTTACTGAGACTATAAGACTATCTCAAGATGCTTTGGGTAGCTCAACTGACTGGAGTGAAATTGAGGTTTAATGTTATCCAATCACTTTTTGTGTTGTTAGTTATCTGCAGCTGCATAAGAATCAGGAATTTATGGTTGAATTTGAAAAAACTGTCTATTAGGCTCGTGAAAGAGATTACCCTTCCATCCAATGTCTTATAGTAAACATGGGTTTATCATTATATCCCGAGTTCATATCATATACATCCTTAATCCACATGATTCACCAATAAACGAGATCAACAAGAAGAGAGGCAATCTAGATTTCATTCAATTCTCCAAAAGTTCTAGATAATAAAATTTTATTTGTCCAAAACCTCATGTGGTATGTGCATGATCCAAGGCCTTATAAGTAATTTTTTTTTGCTCTTTTCTTTTTCTCATTTTCAACTTGCATTTCAATGTATAACACTATAATTTCTAATAACACTATGCTTTCTACCAGCTTAGGCTTTTAAGTTTCTTTCCCTCATCATATCAGCAAAATATAGATTTTATGCTTAGGCTTCTAAGTTTCTTTCCCTCATCATATCAGAAAAACAAAGATTTTATGCTACTTTTTTGGCCCAAAGGTTTGCCAGTTCCAAAAAGTGTTAAGCTTGTTAAAATTCACAAAACTTTTATTTCACTTGTACTAGCTGGAAGCTTGTTTAAGCTGCAATATCCTTCTGCCCCTTTTTAAGAAAAAGAAAAATTTTGAATTCATCTACCTTAGTGCCTTAATGAGATTCATGTGATCCAGGGCGCATGGGTTCTTAAACCAAAAAGATCTAAATTGAAGTCAGTTGTTCATTTTATTGGTGGTATATTTGTCGGAGCTGCTCCTCAGCTTACATACCGCTTGTTTCTTGAACGCCTTTCAGAAAGGTAAGCTTTCAAAAAACCTTTTTGAAAAAAGGTTAACTTATTATTTATTTCCTACTCTTTTTTTTTTTTTGGCCAAAGTATTTCCTAATCAATGAACAATTAATTTTGGGGTTGCCATACTTTGATCAAGTTATTATAATACTAATAGAGCTGAGTAGTACCTGTTTAACAAAAATTCATCATTTTCTGTAGTTATATCTATTTTAATACATTTTATAGTTTTATGTTGCATATGGGATGGCAAATTAAAATCCTTTAAAATATTCCATTACTATTATGATCCATTTAACTGCCAGCCTTATTTGAGATTAGAAGATTTGCCTTCCATAAATTCTAAACTACAACCATAACCATAGTGATGTGCCTCTGGGAATCCATAGTTTATCCTTCTTTGTGATGCAGGGGTGTTTTGGTGATTGCAACACCGTATGCTAGTGGATTTGATTACTTCTACATTGCAAATGAAGTGCAGTTTAAATTTGACAGGTGTTTACGGTTTTTGCAAGAAACAGTGAGCTCTCTCTCTGTGCCTGCATCAGAAAAAAGAAAAAAAAAAAAAAAGGAAAAAGAAAATAAGTGACCTAAAGTTTCTTTATCACACAGGTGCAAGATCTTCCAACTTTTGGTCTTGGTCATTCTTTGGGATCTGTCATTCACCTTTTAATTGGTATTACACAATCTTCTTCCTTATATTGTGTGTATGGGTGTAGCTGGTTTTGTTTGCTGCAATTTATTTTTGCTCAGGATCAAGATTTGCTCTGCAAAGAAGTGGGAATATGTTAATGGCATTCAACAACAAGGTAACTGAATTTTCTACAGTATATGTTATGTGTGATTGCAAAGAGGGAAAAAAGTCGATACGTACAATATAAACATTTATCCTCAGAAATTGTAAATTGGATTGATTTGGTGATGAATGTTGTATGTAAAGACTGGGAAGGACCTATCTTTCTTTATTTCTACATAATCCCTAAGCTGATTAATGTACATGAAAATAATAATCTTATTTTTATATATTTTCTCTTCTAATAGGTAGCAAATTTATCAGGATACACATATTTATGTTATTTACTCTGGAATTAACATATGTATTATTGTATAGTAATTACCATTCAGTTCTTTATGAAACTAATTTGAGATTGAGAAAATCCCACTCCTGTTTTTGCAGGAAACAAGCTTAGCTATCCCTTTGTTCTCACCAGTTCTTGTCCCAATGGCACAAAGCGTTGGACCATTTCTCTCACAGATTGCATCATCACCAACTGTCCGCCTTGGGGTAAAAACCCAAATCACTAGCTTTTCTGGTTAATAATGCATGTAATTATTGCATTTGAAGTCTGCTACTTCTGGCTGTGTCCTGTTTTGACTTTATCTCTTTTAAGTTATGAGTTTATTTACAGCATAACTAATGTTGCAGAGCTTGTTTACCATCCTTGTGGTGAGCTTAGGATTAAGAAAATTAGGGTTAAAGGTGTTTTAGGGTTAGGGTTTTGGGGCTTATGACTTTCTAAGAAATGGTTTGTGGTTAACTGGTGAATTAAGGTTTAGGGGATAAAGGGTGGAACAATCTTGTTGATAGCAAGGATTATGCTTCAGTGAACAGTTATACTATTTAATCACTGTACATACCCACTTGGGTTATGTTTGGTTGGATGGGGTGACTATTACTTGAACTAAATATAAAAATAAGATAAATTAGATATAGAGTATAGCAAATAACAAATGACTATTTTATGCTTCAAGGAGGTATTATTAACTAATGGGTTGTAAGCAGGAATAGCTGGTACCTAAAAGAAGGGGTTGTTAGCTATTCCCTTCTCCTTTCAACTTATTAGAAGACAATTGTGCAAGCATGGAATAGACATTCCTAATTTGTTATGCCTTTTTATCTAATTTACCTTTAGATTTGACCAAGAAGTAATCCTTCCATCAACTAAACTTGCTCAATTAAGGTTTGATTTGTTGTTCCTTGGAGTGAACTACTGCTTTTAAAAGTTAATAAACAAAGAAAACTACAATTTTAAGTCCAAAATTTACCATTTTATACATATATAAACTTGCCTTCATGGGGTATCTCAACTTGTAAGAGATTAAGTAGTTGCGGGTCTCAAGTTTGAATCTTAACACGGGTGAGGACAGATTTGAGAAATGGAAGGGTTATCCCTCTGTTGTATAACCATTTGTTTATAAGATGTACCAAAAATAATAAAAGGAACTCTCTGCCCTCTCCTCCTCTTCCTCTCCTCTCCTCACTTTTCTCTTCTGGTGGGTGCATGTTATTGTTGTCTCTAGGTAGCATCATTGAATGATGCTCTTGAAGCACTGATAAATGCTCCTAGATTTCAAATTTCTCACAAAGGAGGATAGGAGGAAAGAGGATAGAGATAAAGAAAGGGCAATTTGTTTTTTTATACTACAAATGTACCTCCCTAGAGCTAACATAGCAAACCATGGTGAGCTTTGCCACTTTTTGAACCTAGCAGGTGTCTTTATACCAAGCTATAGAGGGGCAGGGTGGTATTTACCCTACTTATTTCCATGTTCCTACTGGCTAAAAGATAACTATTGTCTCGAAGATGCCATGGCTTAGAGTTCCAATCAAACATTTAATGTCCCAATTGAAGGCAAAGCATCCTTAATTTCATTATTTTGAGACTAAGGTTGCTTTTGGAACTACCATCCGGCATCCGTCAGTGTTTTTCTCACAACACCTTACTGAAAATATAAATGTTATAATTAAATAAATTTTAATTAATGTTCTGTGTAAAAGAAAAGGAAAAACTTAGACCTAACATTAAAAATGTCAAGACATCGAATTATAGACATAAAACATGTTGGACATAGTGTGGGTCCTAGATATGTCACATCCATCGCGTGGTTTTGATTGGAGATCCTGATTCTCTTTTCTCTTCATATAATTTAGTAATTATATAGAATGTACAACTTTTGTTCAAAGTAATTATCAAACATTAACATAATTTTTATGATAAGTCATAAATGACCTAAGTGGTCTAATGGTAATCTCTTCTGCAAGTGGACCAAGAGATCTTGGATTTGAGTCGTATGGAATGCAAATGAGGTGGTTTAAGGGATAAGAGGGCGCTTTTTCCTATTATGCAACATAAAATCAAAATATATATAATTATATATATAAGGGTTAATATAGCATAGGTTATTGTCCCAAAAAATTTTTTGGAGGACCTGTCTAAAAAATCATTTTCTAATTAATATTTTTAAATACCAACCATTGGATTGATGGTTATATTTATATAGATTGTGCATGTCAATTTTTGTATTGATCTAATGTTTATAATCTTTTGGTCAAAGAAACTTTATTTAATGACATTTATTTAACAGTATTAAATTTTGAGTAATTAATGAAGTGGTTAGGCCTACTAGAACAATTTGAAAATTGACATGCATGATATATATGAATTGAACTTTTAATCCAATGGTTGATATTTCAAAATATTAATTAGAAAGTGAGTTGTTAGACAAATCCTCCCAATTTTCCTTTTTCGGAGGAACAACTTACAAAACACTTTTTCAATTTATATATATGTGTTAGCGTAGTGTAGGTTAGCCTCTCAAAACTTTTTTTAGAGGACCTGTCTAAATCTCAGTTTTTAGACAGATCCTCCCAATTTTCTTTTTTTGGGAGGACAACTTACAAAACACTTTTTCAATATATATATATATATATGTGTGGATTAGTGTAGTGCAGGTCATTCTGTCAAAAATTTTTGTAGGGGACCTGTCTAAATTTCATCTTCTAATTAATATTTTCAAAAGCCTATTGTTGGATTAAATGTTCTGTTCATGTATATTTTACGTATTAATTTTCATATTGGTATAACATTTATAAGCTTTTGATCAAAGAAATTTCTATTTATTGACATATATTTAATAATATTAAATTTTGTATAATCAACGACCTAATTAGGCCTACTAAATCAATTTGAAAATTGACATGGATGATTTTCATGAATAAATTGCATTCAAAAAATTTCTATGAATAAAACTTTTAATTCAATAGTTGGTTTTTGAAAATATTAATTAGAAATTGAGTTTTTAGATAGGTCTTCAAAAAAATTTGGGACAACATTCAAAACACTTTTCCTATATATATATATATCTTTTCCTATATATATATGTATATATAGGAAAAGTCATGCCACTGCACTTCAATTCCAAATGCAGCCCTAGTTTTTTTTCTACTAACTTTTTTGCTCCTGATTATTAAATTTCTTTATTGGCCCTTCAGTTTTCCTCTCCCCTGTGCCAGAGTTATTGTAGAGCATCAAAACATCATTATTGTAGTTGGGGCACTTGCAAGTAGATGAATTTGATGGATTAGCAGCCAGAGTTTGGCAGAGCATTTTTTTAGGTTGCTTACAAATACTTTTCTGTCCTAGGATGTTTGGTTTGAAGGAACTAGAAGGAAGGGAAAATTTGTTGTCTAATCAAATTAAGATTTTAGCCAAACATCTTAGGGTATGTTTGGTTTGAGGGAAAGGAAAGGAAGGGAAGGGAGGGGAGGGGAGGGGAGGGAAGGGATGAATTTTTTAACTTATCATATTGCATTATTTTTAATTATTATAATTTGATTGGCTAAAAATATCATCCATTCCCTCAAACCAAACATACTATTAATTTGATTGGATGAAAAATTTTCCCTCCCCACCCTTTGCCTCCATTTCCCTCATACCAAGTTTGAAAATTTTTTTGAAGAGAAATGTTGCTTTTTAGCATTTAAATTAGTTATAAGCAAGTTTAAAGGAAAGCAAATGGCACTTGCTTTTTTAAAACTTGCTTATAGGTACTTTTAATGCTAAAAATAGTGTTTCCCTCCAATACTCTTTTAAACTTGTAAGAGGAAAATGCCAAAATCCTAAATCTGCCATCAAAATATGGGGTTAGTGACAGCACCCTCAAACTAAATACAATCATACAGGAACAAATTACACTACCAACTAATTGAGTTGAGAAAATTACCCCAAATTTAACTGCTGACATCATATGACATCAGCTTTCTGTTATTTGTAACACTAATAAAAGGCCATGTAAGTAAGAAAGTAATGGAAAACTAATGTCATGTGATGGCAGCATTTAAATTTTGGGTCATTGTCCAACCAAATTAGTTGGTCGAGCAATTTGTTCCTACATTTAGTTTGAGGGTGAATTTGTCCTTTCCCCCATACCTAGGGTGGATTTGGGGGTTTGGCCAAAAGTTTTCATAAGCAAGTTGAAGAATAAGGTCTGCCAAAAGGACCCTAAAAATTGTACAAATTTTTTAGTTGCCAACTTATTATTTCTTGTCCATGTTTTAAATGTGTGAGCTTGGTTGTAGGAATACGGAATAGCTTCAGTTGCATTTGTTGTATTCAACCTTTAGAATTTTGCATTTGTGTCATATTGGTATTCCTAGCTTTCCTCTCATCATGGTCATTATTTCTGTTATGTGTAGCATAGTATTTGAACCATTTTTATTCAACATTAATTGTTAATTCCATTTTTATGGTCACTAAAGAATTTGACTCATATTTTCTGATGCAAACTGCTTTCAGGCAGAGATGACAATGAAGCAAATAGAGAACCTTAGCCCTCCTATTGTGAAGCAAGTTTTTCCTTTAGTTGAGCAATTTCCACCCGTATACATGGACTTAGCTAAGGGCAGAGAAGATTTTACTCCAAAACCAGAAGAAACTAAACAACTTGTATGTCTAATCTTCTACCCTTCTCACTCAAAGTACTTCACTTCTCAAGTTTGTACCTGATTGCCAAAATTGCCCTGTGTGCAGTCACCGTCAAATGGGCAGAGATGATTTGACCCATTAGAGTGGTGGATTATGCAGGGGCTTGTAATAATAAAAGCCTCCAATTTCTAGTATTCCCCTTGTTTCTCTATATGCAATTTAAATTCTGATTATGATACCATATGAGTGAGGTTCAGCTTTGATAGAAAACCTTGAGGGGGAAGTGGAGATTCATTTATGGGAGGCTTCTGGCTTGGACAAATTAAATACTCATCTGTCACCATAATTAACTTGCACGTAACTTTAGGTAATACTTTTATATAGCATAT